ATATTTATATATATATATATATATATATATAAATATTTAGTTTTATTTTTCTTTATAAAATTTTTATGCACTACCGGCACTTGTGTTTAAAATCTTTAATTTATAATAAATAATTAAAAAACGACGTTTTATATTTATACATAAAAACAATTGAAGCGGTAAGGCTTCCACTTTAAAATAGAAATATCACTCTACAGTCTACACGTAGATGTTTCGACATGATCCAGGTCATCCTCAGGAGTAACTTAACAAGACTATTTTATACTTTCCCCTTGTCGCATTACTTCATTGTTATTTGCATATTTTCTTGGTGGAATAAAAAATATATAATATATCTCGCCATATATCAACGTACTGACTTGCTGGTCCTTCGTTTCTATTTAATACTTGTTTTTGTTTTTTTATATTTAATGATATAAAACTTCGAGATATGAAAGTAACGGAATCCATTCCTCACGGGGTTTACCCTTTTAAGCCGCTACTGAAGTTATACTTGAGGCTGTTTAATTTTTTGTCTTGGTGATTCGTCTATCTCTAATATGAAACACATATAAAGATCAAGGTCATGCTAGTTAGCTAAATGTATATACAGTTTGAAGTTATTACAATTCAGAGACAAGAAATATAATCCAATTCATCTACGTATGAGAACTAAGTTGTGAGAAAATATGTTTTCAATATTTCTTAATATACACCTTTATACTCATTCATAACGAATGTACGCAACCTGACAGTCTGCCAGTGAATATTCATCACGTATGATACATTTGAAACGGTAGATTGACGTAAGAAGGAGATAAAAACCTGCGTGAAAGTCTTTGTTTTAGATATTATTCAAGTACTTTCTCAATTTATTACAAAAGTATGCTTTTTTTTTACTGAACGCCTTAAGAGCTGTGACTCAAAGTTTTACTTTATGGTTTCTCGGATACAGCGCCCTCGTTTCTCTTCTTCATCGCGCTTAAGATAATGACTTAAGTATTTATTTATTACTGTGTATTATTGGGTATTCCCAGGTGAACACAGTGATTCCAACAATGGAAAATCAAAAAGTGACACAAAATGTCAGATGACGCTTCTACATACATCTGAAGATAACCTGAATCGCTCTAAAAACAAATATAATAAACCAAGTGTGTTCCTTGTCTCCTAGTGACTCACTGGTGACTTTCCCAAGTAAGTAAATTGTACAATAGTCAATCAGTTTGAACTGTGTCGCATATTCCAGAATCTAAGAACAAAAACACAACAAATTCTACTTACACTAAAATAACTGTATACTAAGTACAATACAAATACGAAAACAAGAAATTTACAAGCTTTAGCTATGACAAGATAGTTCTCTAATATTTGATAATTCATTGCTATGAAAACTAACACCAATAATACAGCAAGTATTTCCGGATTTTAGCTATTATATCTTAGTCTATTATACAACCATAAAAGCAAAAAATTGTTCCGCAAATCTGCATTAAATATCAAGCATATAACAAATAACCCTAAAATGCACAGTTGAGAACTTAGAACACAGGAAAGAATACAAGGTTATTTTCATTGTGGTAATGGAAAACTCAGTTCATGAACGTCACTATTTGCTTCTAGCTAAACTGGATATGTTTCAGCTCAATCCTCAAGAGGTCCTTTGCCAGTTTCTAATCCCATAAACATGTATTAACATCTAATTTTTAGCTTTACCATATTGAACACAACCTCATTAATCTAGCAGTTACGCATACAGACTAATCGCATGTTTCTGTTGGGTTTAGTAAAGTTGGGTGTTTTGAAAAAGATTGAATGAAATTGGGTTGTGATTCTCTCCAATGTCTTCACGAACTTAAACGTTTGAAATCTCCTTTTACACCATGAAGATATTGACGAGGTATTATGTTAACCATAAAAGGTTCTCTACCTGTTTCTAGCTAAACCGTGAATAACTAAAAAAACTGGATTTACTAGTTATACCATACACGTGAATTTACTCCGAAATGTAACGTTCAGCTTACCATAGGTTTGTTATCTGACGCGAGTTTATATGTTTTCGTATTGAAAACAAATAATATAATAATACATAAAAATCAACAGCTCTTAATTACCAAAGTATCGATAATAAATTAAAAAACTAAAATATATAAAAATAGTACAGGCAATGAAATAAACTATCAGAAGACGTATTTGTTTGTAGTTAAGCGCAAAGCTGCACAATGGGTTATATGTGCTCTGCCCACCACAGGTATCGAAACCCGGTTTCTAGCTTGTAAGTCACAGACATACTGTTGTATCACTGGGGGGCAGAATACTTGAAATAAGAGAAATTTGTTTCGATATATTTTTTAGGAACAACCAAGATAATTATTAAATCACTTCTGTTTATCAAATCAGTTGGAAATCTACAATAATTTTATACATAATGGATAATTTCATAAAAAAGAAGAATAGTCGGTAGTTGCTTAAACAGAAATCTGCCTGATTTCAGTACCTCCCAAGGTCATTTCAAGTTAAACAGCTTTCTGACTACCTGTGTTCCAGAATTCCATTTTTAATGCCAGAAGAGAACATGAAACTGAATAACAGCAAATGTATAACGTTTCGTACCTGATGATGACAAAACCTTGTCGAAACGTTGTACATTTGCTGTTATATTAAACTTATATTAATTAAAGTTGTTCCTCATTACCCATTCAAGCCGTCTCCAACCATTATTAGTCTCAGAGTGGGTTTCTCGTCATCGAAATGAATTCATCACGGCGATTAACCGAGGTTGTGTAAGTCTAAACGTTTATCTTTGTTATTCCATGTATAGCTTTTAAAGTATGTTCTCTCACCTATCCACTACCATAAACCAATCATACCATGAAACTCTCTTTAAACTTCGTAACCTGAATATAAAAATCATCTTTAGTACCTGATGATGACAAAACCTTGTTGAAACGTTGTACATTTGCTGTTATGTTAAACTTATGTTAAAGTTTTTCTTCATTACCCATTCCATCCGCCTCCAACCATTATTCATTATTGTTTGTTTGTTTGTTTTTAATTATGCACAAAGCTACACAAGGGCTATCTGTGCTCTGCCCACCACGGGTATCGAAACCCGGTTTCTAGCGTTGTAAGTCCGCAGACATACCGCTGTGCCACTGGGGGGGGGGGCTTATTGATTATTAAGCAATCACACATTACAAAAATATCTGTGAACTTGAAATGTGTTTCTTTTACAGTATATTCAGCTCTCAATGACTCCTCATTGTTTGAAATCTACTTTCTTGCTATAATTTTTTTTAAATTAGAATTTTTCAAAAAGTGAGTTAAATTAACTCACGCTTTGATCGTTCACATCCATGCCTGTCTACAGGGGCATCGAGAGCCAACCCTGTGATATCATCAGCCCCCCCCCCTTATTCTATTTATCAACTTTTATTGCTTTTTCATAAAAGAAATGTAGGTGACAAATCTCTTCATAAGTCCAATAAAAAGAATTAGCCATTTCAGCTCATTAAGTAGTATGCACTTCTTGTGAGCTTTGGAATTTCCCACTGCTGGGCCCCGAGGCAGATACCGCCCTTGACCCCCTCTCTCTCGCCAGTTCTGCCTGTCTACCAGTATATTTATGCCCGGGGTCACATGGACAATAGTTACATACAATTCTCTCTGAGTGTAGCACATCATAACTGATGATGTACCAGGATGGCTGTTTTACCAATGAACACCGTTCCTCACTTTCCCCTAATTCAAAATTAGGAATGGCTGTATTTCAATCCTAGGGTTCTTTGATCTAGTAATTTAGCCCACTTGCACATAATATGCTGTTTATATTAAAAATTCCAATTCAAATATGAATACACGGAAGATTGTGTCATTACTGAAATGTTGTTCTTGATGTGAATTTTACTGAAACATGTTGATATGTTTTTATCATTAATGGGTATGTTGAAGCTAAGAATTATTAAATCAAAATTTAAACAAGTAACCCATAGGTTTCGAAATGGAAAATAACGAGTGTCACATAATGTACTAAAAATGAAACAACAGATATCAGCTGTTGTGAGTTGTATGGAAATATGTACTTTGTGCTGATATTAACTAATATATTTCTTAGCAGTAATTAGAATGTGATGTTGCACAAACACAGTAAACAAATTTTGAATGTTGAGATACGCTAGAATAAAAATCATTAAATCTTGGGTATTTCATACTACAGAAATATGTAAGCTAGATGTAATAATCATAAACAAAACAGCAGTTAATGAGGCACTCTGTGCAGGGAATTGTAACGTCACACGGAACTGATATGCAAATGATCTGCTAATTAATGTATATAATTAACCCTTTATTAATTAAAATATAATTAGATGCAAATTATATGCAAGTTAATCATTAATGTCTAATTAAATTAATGGTTAATAAGTTAAAGGTTCGTCAATTAATTAGATGCAAGTTAATAATGAATATCTAATTAATGGTATATAAATTAATAGTTAACTAATTAGGTGTAAATGATATGCAAATTAGTAATTAAAGGTTTGTTAATTGTATGATTAATTGGTAAGTTAAATTAATGTGTATCTAATTAAATAATGTGCAACTTGAAAGTAATTAATATCTACTTATTTATTGTTGATTAAAGTTAATTAATTAGGTTATTAATATCCAATTAGTGATGAAATTTAATATCAATAATTAATATCCAAGTTCTTGATGTCAGCAGATGTTATTCCAAGAAAGGAGAATGTTTTCACCATTAAATCTCAGAGGCAACACCAGATGGCACGTTTCTAGGTGACATCATATGATTAAGTTATCATCACCAGAGGGCATCTTACTAGCATTTATCTTTTTCATATTCTTTCATTATATTGATAGCTTTGCTTTTATAATTAATCTTCAGGCATTCTTCAGTTTGAAAATAATAATATGCAGTGGTTTTAGTAGATTTATAATCTTACTCTATAATGAATAGATGATTCAAACATACCTCATATATTATATTTTCAAGTAAGTTATTCTTTCACTTATATGAAACTCCAATATGTTTTAAACAGACATTGTTAAAAATATATTATTTAAATCACGTTTATATGCTTTCGTATTAAAAGCAAATAATATAATGTAACGTCTCTGGTCGTTTGTTAATTTCCGGTATAAATTCTTCCCGAGGAACTTCAGCGATACAAGTCCTTTCTTAAATAAAACTAGTTTATTGTTTCTCAATACTTTGCAGTACACAAAATTTCCACAGTCATTTTAACTTAAACACACGCTATAATTCATAACGATTCACGCATTTTACTTACTGTCACTACTGCTCGTTCGACTAAATTATCTATCTCTATATCTGTCTATCTGCAATTATATCTCCGCTTTGTTTGCCGCGCTTATATACTAAAATAGACGGCGCCTGCAAAAGACTAGAGTTGCCAGGAAAAGTCATGATCCTTCTAGAAACTCATGACGTGTTACCAGCGTCACGTGACTTCCGCTGTCGTAACAATAATGATACGTAAAAATCAACAGCTCTTAACTACCAAAGATTACCTTTTGTTGTTTAAAATGATCAGCAATAAACAAATAAAACAACAGTACGCACTGACTCTTAGATATGTTTAACTTATACTTTTAGTTCCTACGAGTACAGAAACTAATAAATATTTGTTTTTAGTGTATATAGCGGGGTTGCCAGAATTTCTACTTGGACAAGTCATATTGGCTCAGAATACAACCACTCTATAACGAACCAACGCTAAAAAAACAAGCCCAAAACAATAACTCATTACAGCTGTTTTGTTCAACCTACTTTTTGTATCAGTTGCCTATGTGCTCTGGGCGTAAAATTTGTTGCTATACTTAATACCTTCGTGTTTTTTGTGTGCTAATTTTACTTTTAGTTTAGATGGCTTTCATAAATGGGAAAATTTCTTTTTTTTTAGTTTTTCCTCGGTCATAAAATGATATATAGCAATTCAAACAAAGAATATATCGGTAAGAAAATAGTGAGTTAGCGGTAGGGTTTACGAACTTACAACGTTAAAGTTTAGGTTTCGCTTCCCACAGAGGTTAGATCGCGGATAGTCTATTGAATAACTTTGTGCTAAATCAACAAGAAGAAGAAAATAGTAAAATATGTTATGCGCTCACTCACTATTACTCCAACAAGTGCAGGCACTCAAGCAGCACGTCGATCTTGTCGTCGTGACCTGTTTTGGACGGTAGAGTTATCGAATTTAATGAGATGATTTAGGAAAGCACCAAATGGTACAAATTACATTCTATTCGGACGTTTTTCTTGTATTTTAAGTTTACTCAAGCGCATTCCTATTTAAATATACGCTAAAAAGGATCTCAGTGACACCCCCGTGACTGTAAAAAACAAATTCACGGGAAATACGTCGATTTGTCAACACTGTATCCAGTTATCATCTCTCGTGTGGAAGTAGCTAGACCAATGAGCGTCAAGAAGGAAATAGATGTTAGAAACGTGTACTTCAAACAGCAAGGCAAGAGGATACATGGCTGAATCATACACATTTTTATAAACTAATAATAACCGTGTACAATACTCATCACACTTTATTATCATTCTATACGAATCAACTTGTCATAAAATACAAATATTGAATCAAATTTTAATATTCATATAAGTTTAAGCTCTCAATTTTATAAGGAAACATTTTAAAAAATTATGTATCTCTCCTAGTATTAAAATTTGTTCTCTAGGTCTTCCCTCATCTCTAATTTATTTACCACCCCTTTGAGAAGTACAGAATTCAACGTAACTTATTTATTATAATATAGATATTTCTAAGGCCAAGCATACTTTTTTTTTTTTTGCCTTCAATCTTGTTTGTTTACTGAGTTTCATCTTTTTAGTCATAAACTAGAATCTTCTTTTTCACATCTTGCCAATAGTTCTTTCTGACATTTTGTAATATAATGTTTATAATCAATAGAAGGCCAAGGTTTTAATCTATCAAATTACGTAGACCGTAGCGAGAGAGTTGAACAAGTAGATTGTTTGATTTTTTTTCTGATTTTTCTGTAAAAAGAGAGGGTGGCTTTCTGTCTACACCGGTATATAGGAAGCCGTTCTCAGTTGCCATGCCGCCACATGCAAGATCGTGTCACCAATTATCACATTTTCGACTTTTGTTCATAAGACCGTTCAAGTACTTCAATATACTCGACTTACAATTCTTCTGCAAGAATTTAATTGAATAATAATTTAACGACTCCAACGTTTTAAAACGCACAGTAATTTATTGTATAAAGCTAAAAGCAATAAAACCTATCATTCAGCCTTGTTGTTAATAATACAGGGTAACTAATGTTAGAATTAAATTATTTTAAATATATAGCTATTGTTCGAGGTTATGAATCTGTCATTATAGATAGAATCCATAAAAACATTGTTATAAATTACAAATTTCTGGATGTACCAAAATACAGACAATAAATAAGGGAAACAAGGAAAGAATGTGTTTGCCATACATTCCATCAAGGTTAAAAAAAGTAGGTAATGTGTTCATGAAAAATCCGGATTGTCAGATTACTTTTACTCCTGAATTAAAATTAACATAATTAATGATGTTGGATATAACGTTCAAGTAAAGGATAAATGTGTTACATACAAAATTTCGTGTAGTTGAGGTTTACATTATACTGGACAGACATGTAAAAATTTGAAATTTAGAATTAAAGAACACAAGAATGCTGTAGATAAATTAAAAACTAGTGATTCGGCCTTAACGGAACATGTGGCGAACTCTTCGCATGCTATTGATTGTATAATGTACAAATACTGAAAGAAGTAAAGTTAAAAATGAATTAAATATCAGAAAATCATCAGAAATTGCTAAAAACAAAAATGATTTTGAATAGAGAATTAGGTCCTGGTATCATGGAAGTAATTTTCTGGAAATCCATTTTGCCACTGTACAAATTATTGTGTCTTTCTTGTCTCCTGACGATGATTGAGCAAGTTCCATCGAAACACTAAAGTTTTTGACTTTTTATTGCTTTGAACTTTATATAATAAATTATTGCACACTTATAAAAGTTGGAGTCCTCAACTTATTTGATTAAGTACTTACCACAAAGTATTGTTGCAACTTGTTCTGTCGTTGAGTGTATCACTTTTTTTTAGGGGGGGGGGGGGGTTGGTACAAATAATGCCAAGTCTAGTTCACGTAACGATAAAGAATTAATTAATTTCTTCTATAACGTTTGCTACATGGTACGGTCACTCTGACACAAGTTTTAGGTCTAAGTTAACAAAAACGTTTGTGCATAAATTCTGAGACTAATGGTATGCCCAATTTACAAATAATGCACTTACAGAATTTCCTCGCTACTCGATCGTGTAACTGAATAGATGCAATAACTCTTACTGCTAATACTGAACTAAATTACTCATTCATTACTCACAAACTACTTCACTAACTGAATAAGTCATCACTGATTACTCATATTTATATTGTACTGTTACGTATCTGCTTGTTTGTTAATTTCCGGTAGAAATTCTTTCCGAAGAACTTAAGTAATACAAGTCCTTTCTTGATTAAACCAGTTTATTCTTTCTCGATACAAAGTTTTAGTACACAGTCAGTACGTTTCTCGTTACTTCCAGCTTAACGACTTTTATAATATACGCCATAAGTCACAGCGATTCACAATCTCGATAACTTAACTCTCTACGTGTGCAAAACACACACTAGCTCGAAACAGAATTGTAAATTACCCGAAACTCACCGTGACTACTTTATCATACATTCATCA